ACAATACCACTATGGAAGTAGGCCCCTGAAACCCTGATAAGTATGGTCTTTTGGGGCCCCAATTCCATATTGGTACTATATATGGAGCCCCTGGGTAAGGGTTCTAGCAGAGTTCTACTAGTATGATGGTTCAATGGGGGTTCTAGAAGAGTTTTACAAGGGTTCTTGGAGTAGCGTTCCTTTGAAGACAGATCGATGTGAGGGATCTACAAGTGTTGCTATTAGGCTGTCATACACAGGCCGTAATAATTAGAGTATGTAGTGTGCTCATGCTTTTTGCATTTTCAAAATTCTAAGGGGTGGGGGGGTGGGATTGTAGCTCCAAAGCTCAAGTTTTTAGTTAAGGCGTCTCGGCTTCAGGAATCTGTGGTATACCAAGGTAAATCAGCAGTCCCGCTCTTACGGTTTTATCAAGATTGTTGAGTCTCTTGGATGATAACCATGAACAAGCGGTTCTAGGCTACGAGTTCTTATTTTGTGGTGCTCACAGAATTCACACAAATCTAACTCCAACAACGGCCTTTGAGCCCCCAAACCCTACTCCGCCTTTTCCCCGAAACCCAAAACCCTTTACCATTCCTAAGACCCTCAAGACTACTAGACACTTGTAAAGTCCATATACAAAACCCCCGAGAACATCCTGTCTTAAGAGCCCTTATAGAACCTCTTTATTGAACCCTTGCAGATCCCTGAACTAGTTCATGGTTGGGACAGGATTAAGAATGTAATTTTAAATCTTTATTCCATATTAGGTTTAAGTACCCATAAAATTTTAAAATGTTACCAACTATGACAACGTGAATATCGGTGTTGCCGAGAGTCGACCTGACGAAAGGCTTCTTTCTCAGCCTGACGGATGCTTTTCTTGCTTGTTTCTACAAACCTAGACGACATTTAGGGCACTGTAGGGGTGTATGGGTTTAAGGGGCTTAGGGTTTAGGGTTTTAAGTTTCTACAAACCTAAAAGACATCTAGGGTTACTGTAGTTATGAGCATCTTGGGTATCGCAGGTGCTTTATACGGGCTTCAGACATGACATCCTTCCAAGCTTACGGGCTTTTGCTCCCCAAACCCTAAACCCTAGTCTAGAGTCGGGTTGAGTGCTTAAAGCTTGGGGGTTATTATAATCTTTAGGGCTTGGGATTTTGGGTTCGGGGATTTGGGGTTTAGGGCTCTGTGCCTCGGGCTACAGGGGCTTGTCAGGTCCATTGATAAAGGTCTTCCTGGGGCTTTATGGGGGTTTACTGGTCCAAAGAATCCAAGGGTAGAAGGAGTGACCCTTAATAAGGACCCCTAGGTATATACCCTTAATATAGCTATTCTATACCCACTATATAGCCCATTATAGGGTAGGGGTCCCCATTAAGGGTCCCTCCTTTTCCCCGTTGATATAACTCGGTCCAAAGGAGCCGATAACTCGGCACTATGCTTTGGGACACTGGTAATGCAAAAGATTTGAGAGAGCACGGTTTAGGGTTTAGGGCTTCCACGGTTTCAGGGTTTTAAGGTGTAGAGCACGGGATAGGGCACCTCTATCAAGACCCTCCCGCAGCCATGAAAAACAAACAAAAGCACAAGCAGAAGCTTTGGAGGTCGCGAATCGCAAAATCCTGAAGCCCTTATAAACGCAAAGCCTTAGCCGACTCGCTTCTTGCTAGCATACTAACATACTGCAGAAACCACAACTTTGCAACGGCAATGCAACACAATGACGACAATAAACACAGTAGTCTAACTTAGAAGTTGAATAGTTACAACATCAGCTTCGGCAACAGCAGCAGCATTCCTGAGGTCATGCTTCTCCTGTAGCAACCCTGCGGCAAACCTACTGAAGCGGCTCTCTCCTCCCCTGCCACAGCAGGCCTCACCCCGATGTCCTATACCTAAAAAACCTGAAGCTCTAAACACTAAGCTACTAAAACCTTTCAAGATATAACATCCTGAACTCTACCCGTAGGCCCCATAGTAGTTCCTTTTGGAGATTGCCTTATCGGATTCTACTTGTTTATGAGCCCCCCAAAAGGAGTTACTATGGGGCCTATGGGTAAACCCGTAAATCCTAGCCCTTAGACCTCCGACATCGCAGCACAGAGCCGAACCACGGCCTTGGATGCTTTCGCGGAGTCCTCCTGCTCCTGCCGATGGGGGAAACCCCCCGAAACGCTACAGTAGAAGCCAGAAAGATGGAACATCGCTATCCTCATTCCCTTAAGGTAAGGTAGAGGGAATCCTAGCACTAATCATCCTAAATCCATGGTCCAAATTTCTGGGGTTCACTACAAGCCCTAAACCCCAAACCCATCCCCAAACCTGCAAAACTGGTCAAAATCATGGCCCACCACCTCCAAAAGGCTACTACTCTTCATACTTCTGGGGTCCCGGTGCAGGGCTTCTTGAATCTGTAGCGAATTTAGGAGCCTTAGGACGGTAGGGAATTTAGGAGTCTTAGGACGGTGGAAATGTCGGAGTTTTTGGACGGTTAAACAGCAATCAAACTATGCAGTATTTGTAGGGTCCTTTTATATTATAGCTATATAGGGTTGTATACCGGTTACCTAAGCCCTAAACGCTAAACTCTAAGGCCTAATGCCCAAACCCTAAGTTAAACCTAAACCTTCGACCCCAAACATGAGGTTCTCAAGACTGCTTGGGGTCCAGCAAACTGAGACAGTCCCGGTTGATCGTCTGGTGCACTTGAAGTTCTATGTTTGACTGGTTCTTGCTTGGTAACCACAAGCCCATGCTTGTCTGGGTGCTTGAACCCTTGGGAAAACTGCGAAAAACATGAAGTCCTGGCGCAAGGCGTCGAGCTCTGCGCGAGCACGCTGCAGCTCCTCCAAAGGCTCGGCTCGGTGGGCTGTAATACTTGCCTATACTATCTGGGGGGGGTCCTTAATACCATTACACTATAATATGCCCCCAAACCCTATTCTACTTTTGAAGGCCCCTTTATTACAGGATCGGGGGGCTTACGAAGAAAGTTTTTACAGGGAAGTGTATGCTCAGGAAGGCATTGGTTTATAATTCAGAATTTACCTACCAAGTCCCCTAAGCCTTGAAGTGCCGCAATTTATGACGGCTGTGCAGGGCTTATCAGAGTTCTATAAAGGTTCTGCATATAGGAGGCAGGAGTTAGCTCAGGGTTTTTGCCGCAAGTTTGGGATGTCTGAGGACGACGGGATTCTTTCCACCAAACACGCAAATCCTGCAGGGCTTACGTTCCTTAGGCTTCTTCGTCAATTCGATGGCACAGCCCCCCTGCCCTTCATCTCGCGCTCAAGGCTTTTCTAAGTCAGATCTGGCCTGGTCACCTCTCGGATTGCACTTCGTCGCATAGAACTTGCGGCGATGGCTTTGAACAACGTGTAGGCGGTGCTTAGCTTTGTGGTTTCACATAAGCATCTATCGTTGTCAGAGTCTGGGCTTCGGACACATCCGCTAGGAAGAGGCTGATCTTAAGAGCGAGCTGAGGCCACTTCTTTATTAGCTCAAGGTAGGAAGGCATCGTGAGTACTTGGCTCATGTGGTCCTTGATGAAAGAGAGGCAGGCCGTTTCCAGCTGCTTGGCCTGAAGAAGATGTGCCTGCCTGAGAATGTCACAGACCTGCGAGGTGTTGATTTCTTCGGAAAGCTTCGCTTGACACCACAGCTGAAGCCTCTTGATTTGATATTTGTCGCTCACAGCCAAAAGCGCCTGAATCCGCGACAATTGAAGGCTTTCGCTCTCGTTCTCGGACTCGCTTGACGACCTCGTCGGAACGAGCTCCTTGGCGTCCGGCACGTGATCGGTGTAGAGGAACTGCAGGAAGGCCTTGAAGGTGGCGACGTCGCAATCTTCGATTCCGATGACGTTCGACATGCTCTCCTGCATGCCGCCGGTCAACTGTTTGCGGAACACCTCGGATCGGGCACAAAGAATCTGCGAGTGGGCATGGATCACCTCGTCCTGCACCATGAACCTAACGTCGCAGCACTTGCCTTCCTCGAAGAGCACCTTCGTGTCATCACTCATAGTTGGCTCAGGAACCTCCATCGCAAGGCTCAAGGGCACTGGTTCTGCGCATATGTCGGGACGAACTTCAAGCTCGAATTTCATGGTCACCACGTCGTTCTCCACCCACTCGGACTGCAGCAACTCTTCATGGCTCAGCCCGAAAATTCCCAAAGACTCGGGAGGATGACCGGGCCAATACACATCGGGGCCTTGTGCAGCAAACTCGTGCTCGTGGACGACATCTCGCGTCTCGCCCCACTGCAAGAATTCACCGCTCCGTGCCTTGACGTACATGCGATACCGAAGCAGAATGCGATCGCACCCGATCGGCACTATGGCGAGAGACCCATGATAACCCCCACCAAGCTCGCCTGCCCACGGGTTGTAGCGAAATACGAACGTCACGTCACCTAGCGGAAACGGCCCGGACTGGACAGAGGACTCCTCGTCCTCGTCTTCCTGAACTATCATGCCCTTCAACCAGGAGAAGCCTGTGATTCGCCAGACGAATTCGCCCCTGGCGACCTTTTCTGCGCAGTTAGTGCTGTTCGCAGCACTGGCCCGCATCACAGTTGGCTTGTCGCGGCGTACTTCTTGAACATCTGTGGACTCCTGCCAATAAAATGTCGTGTTTTCATCCAAGGACCGTCGACGCTTAGCTTCATGCTCGTTTGCGTTTTGCATACGTTTCAGAGACCGCCTCGTCCGTTCCAGCTCGAGACGGAGCTTCTGGCGCTCTACCGCCTGGTCCGTCTCGGCCCGGAGCTCGTCATGCCTGGCCCTCTCTGCTTCCACCTGTCGCTGGGTGGCCGCGATCTCTGCTCGCAGCTCTTCGGCTGTCTGCACCGCCGCCATGGCGAACGGTTCAAGAAAGATTCCACGCTGAAGATGAAGCGGCTGCTTCGCCGAGATACGGCTTCTACAAAGTATGTAGGGCTCTCTCCTCAGGGCTTTTGCAATGACAATGAGCACCCTATAGTCATTAGCAATCAGCAGAGTCGTATTGTCAGAGCCACTTGATTTCTGAGATGTGCGACCCAATCCCACACCTTGAAAGCAGGCTTAGATCAACAGTAATTCTGGGGGGGCCCTTCAGCGTGCTCGGGTTTTAAAGCTGAGCATAAGACCTCTCTTCACATACTCTATGAAACCCTGAGAAGACCCCCGTGAAACTCTAAACCCTACCTGACACCCCAACTACCCTTTAATATACCCTAAATACCCACTGATAAGGACCATAAGGGCTTTATTCAAGAGTACTTGGGGGATCCTGGTACACCCTAAACCTAAATAACGCGCAGGTCGGCTCCTGCGAGGAGTTTGCGAGCTCCTGCTGCTGTTCCTGCAGGAGCTTCCTGAGTGCCTTCGGAGGCGGCTTCCGAGCTTAGGGTTTAGGGTTTAAGGGTTTTTTCGGTTTATAGGGTTTAGGGAGAAGGGTTTAGGGTTTCGGGGTTTAGGGTTTTTTGGGTTTAGGGTTTAGGGAGAAGGGTTTGGGGTTTAGGGCTACGGGGATTCGGGGGCTGCAGGGAAATATAAGGCTTTAGGCTCTGTAGACCTTGAGATTCATTCGGCTTTAGGGCTTTTGGGGTTCAGGCTCTGGGGGTGTAATCTTCAGGGTTTTAGGGATTTAAGGCTTTTAAGGATTTAGCGCATGGGTGCTTGTTTGTTCAGGCTTCATGGCTTCAGAACAGACACCGGTTTCAGTTCTGCTGCCCTGTGCTATTTCGACATTCTTTATGGAGTATCACTGGCCAGTGGCTAACCCTAAACCCCTCAACGTCGATCTCGCTTCTGCCTCCATCTCGCGCTGCATCGCCAGCATTTGCTCCGACAGCTTATCCTGCTCGTCTTCCTTCAGGCAGGGGTTGGAACTAGGGTTTCGGGTTCAGGGCTTGTTTTCGGGATTTTGAAAGTGAGAGCATCACGCCCTGCTGCCGAAAATGGGAAGCCTTCATGAAGGCACTTGCAACTCTGTGCATGTGTGTGTTGGTTCGCGCGGCCGTCTTGCGCGACCCTGGCTTCCTCGTTGACTTCATATTGCCGGAGGTGTAAAGGTTTACTCTCTTCTTCAACAGCCGGGCCCCAGAAAGTTGAAACCATTTTAAGATAGAGCTGAAATATAAGGCCAAAACGTTTAAAGTTCCCCCGTTCGCTATCTAAGTTTAAGTTGGGAGTGTTGAACTGAAGTGTCTGCATAGTGCGGGAATGTGCTCCTGCAGCCCAGGTCGACTCTTGAACCCAAAACCCAAACCAAAAAAACCCTAAACTCTAAACCGCAAGCCCGAAAAAACCCGAAACTGCAAACCTGAGACCCCAAACATACCCAAACCCTAAATAAGCAAACCCTACAACCCCTAAGCTAAACCGCACAACCTCGACCCCAAACATGTCCAAACCCTAAATAAATGAGTAAACCCTATAAACCCCAAACTAAACCGTACACCCTCGACCCCAAACCCTAAAACCGTGGCAAACTTCACATCGTCGGACCAAAGTCTTGAGCGACAGACCCCCCAAAGGCAATGATGCAACGCCAAATCTGAAGCCTTAAACCTTTCACATTCACAAGCTTTGTCTCTATAGGGCTGTAGGTTTTCAGGGCGCCAAAAGATATTTGTGAAATGGTACCTCTACAGAACCACAAGGGGAATAAAACACTTTCTGCAAGTTGCCACCTAGTCAGAAGCCTGCATTACTACTCATATCGTTCCATAGGGTTCGTTATACAAACCACATATTTCAACACTCGAATAAGCCCGACGATCCCAATGATACTCATATAGGGGCCTGAATAAATAGAATAGGGTTTGGGGGTATATTATACTATAAGTATAATCAGGAACCCCCCCAAAAAATAATAAGGCATGTAATTATTAAGACCCCAATGATACTATACTGAACTTAGAACCCTAGCAAAAATGACACTTTTAGCTGTTTCTTAGAGACTATAATAACCACAAAATACAAATTATTCTATGTACCTTTAAGGATATCTGAATCCCGGCACCTTGGCTGCCAGCTCCGTCTTCAATGCCTCCCTCTCGGCGCTGTCCAGCTCCTCCTTCGGAGTTTATATACCCAAAGGGTCCTAAATACTGTTTTGGGGGATACTTCCCCAAATCGTAATAGTAACTCCTAATATACAAACCCTACAATCTACAAGAAAGGTACTTTGGACCCTTTGGGATAGGGGTTCCCTCGGCTCCATGCAAACAGCTGCCTGCTTTGGGGTCTATGGAGACTCAAGGCTATCAACAGGACCTACTTTGGGTTTGACCGAGGCTTTGGCGTCTAGGCTTCAGAGAGATGCCTGACGAGGTGTTCTTGAGTTTTTGTAGATTCAAGGCTTCCCTAGGAACCCTAAACCCAACATAACCCAACACACTAAAGCCTAATCCAAAACCCCAAGCCTCCAACGCTAAACACTAACCATACCTAAACCAAACCCCCAAATCCCAAATCCTACAGCATCAGCTTCCCTGAACCCCTAAACCCTAAACCCTAAAACCCTAAACCCTAAACCCCTATAAACCCTAAAACCTAAACCGAGCCTGCAGCTTCCATGGAAGCCCCCGAACTTCGCTACAGGCTAGAGCTTGGTTTAGGGTTTAGGGTTCAGGATTTAGGGTGTAGGGTTTAGGGCTTGGTTCAAGGCCTGAATTCGGAAGCCCTAAGACCTTATGAACCATACCGAACCCAAACCAAACCCTTATGAACACAAACAGCAGAAAGCCCAAATAAAGATACCATAGAATCAGCCGCCGACAAATCAGCTACAACCCCCTTAAACCCTTTAGTCGAAACCCTAAACACCTAAACCCTAAATCCCTAAACGCCTAAATCCCTAAACCCGTTAAACCCTAAACCCCCAAACCCTAAACCCCCAAACCCTAAATCCCTAAACCCCCAACCCCCAAACCCTAAACCCTAAATCCCTAAACGCCTAAATCCCTAAACCCGTTAAACCCTAAACCCCCAAACCCTAAACCCCTAAATCCCTAAACCCCCAAACCCTAAACCCTAAATCCCTAAACGCCTAAATCCCTAAACCCGTTAAACCCTAAACCCCCAAACCCTAAACCCCTAAATCCCTAAACCCCCAAACCCTAAACCCTAAATCCCTAAACGCCTAAATCCCTAAACCCGTTAAACCCTAAACCCCCAAACCCTAAACCCCCAAACCCTAAATCCCTAAACCCCCAACCCCTAAACCCTAAACCCTAAATCCCTAAACGCCTAAATCCCTAAACCCGTTAAACCCTAAACCCCCAAACCCTAAACCCCTAAATCCCTAAACCCCCAAACCCTAAACCCTAAATCCCTAAACGCCTAAATCCCTAAACCCGTTAAACCCTAAACCCCCAAACCCTAAACCCCTAAAACCTAAACCCCCAAACCCTAAACGCCTAAATCCCTAAACCCGTTAAACCCTAAACCCCCAAACCCTAAACCCCCAAACCCCTCCCTAAACCCCCCCCTAAACCCCCAAACCCTCCCTAAATCCCTAAACGCCTAAATCCCTAAACCCGTTTAAACCCTAAACCCCCAAACCCTAAACCCCCAAACCCTAAACCCTAAATCCCTAAACGCCTAAATCCCTAAACGCCTAAATCCCTAAACCCGTTAAACCCTAAACCCCCAAACCCTAAACCCCCAAACCCTAAACCCTAAATCCCTAAACGCCTAAATCCCTAAACGCCTAAATCCCTAAACCCGTTAAACCCTAAACCCCCAAACCCTAAACCCCCAAACCCTAAACCCTAAATCCCTAAACGCCTAAATCCCTAAACCCGTTAAACCCTAAACCCCCAAACCCTAAACCCCCAAACCCTAAACTCCCTAAACCCCCAACCCCCAACCCCTAAACCCCTAACCCCTAAACCCCCAACCCCCAAACCCTAAATCCCTAAGCCCTAAACCCCCAACCCCTAAACCCTAAATCCCTAAACCCTAAATCCCCAAGCCCTAAAGGCTCCTCCTCTTCCTCCTCGGAGTCTTCGGAGTCCGAGCGATCCGAGTGGTAGGCGGAGGTGTAGGCTTCATCTTGGGACCTTTGTTGGTTTAGGGGCTTTAGGGCTTAAGGGCTTTAGGGCTTAAGGGGTTTAGGGCTCAAGGGCTTAAGGGCTTAAGGGTTTTAGGGGCTTTAGGGCTTCAGGGTTTTAGGGCTTAAGGGTTTAAGGGTTTAGGGCTTAAGGGTTTAAGGGCTTTAGGGCTTAGGGGGTTTAGGGTTTAGGGGATTACCGGTGTAAGGGTGCAGGCTTCGTCTTGGGAGCTTTGCGCAGCAAGGGCTTTTTGTCGATCCAATGCTTCCAAGGACTGTATAGTTAGGGCCCTAAACCCTTAGGGCCCCAATGATGAGGTCCCCTGGAAGCATAGGGATAATATTCGTAGTAACCTTAAACCCTAAAACCCCAAACCCTAGACCCTACACCTTAAACCTTAAACCCTAAAATCCTAAATAGTGGTATTCAACAGCGATCAGGAGGTTATAAGAAGTCCAGCGGCGGGCTGTCCACACGCATCGACCGACTCTCCGTGCGAAGAGACTTCGCAACGCTGTGCGTAGCGCTGCTTTCGAACTGATCCTGCACATGGAGAGAAACCCTAAACCCTCAAAAACCCTAAACCCTAAGGACCCAGCAGCCAAATCGCGGCTTTAGGTTTCAAACATGTTTTCAATAAAGGCTTATAAAAACCTCGGGGCGCCGGTGTTGCCGGGGCCCAAAGACTAGATAGTTGTGGCTGGGACGGGTTGGGGTCGTAGCAATCGTAGCTGAGGGAATAAAATTAGTAGGCACATCAAAGGAAGATGTGCATACTATGGACTTGCACCTTCGCGTCTTGCATGATCTGACTACCAGCATGAGCCTTTCAGCAGCAGACGTAAGGCCTTGGCTTTGGCTTCAGGACCTGTTACAGACTCTGATATGAACACCTTAAACCCCAAGCAGGTCGGGTTTGGCTTTCATAGGCCTTCATTGCTAGAGTAGATAAGTAGGCATATTAGCCGTTACAACCCCTGATGGTGGAACTGGCCTAAAGTCGGTAGTAGATATGGTACGGGTTCGGGTTGATAGAACTTGGAAGCCCAAGTCGGTACTTCCTGTGCGCAGGGAGGTGGGTTCATTCCTGGGGCGTTCTTGACCTACCCTCTGCTGCTACGCTGCAACACAAAGCACACGGTACCCTCAACCGGAACTGTTCGAAGGACACATGCTAGGAACTCATGCAACCCAACAGCATAGGCTTTCTTAGAGCTTAGGAAAATCCTAAAGCCAAAGGAAGGTACACAAAGCCTATGATACACAGCCGCATCTCCTCGTCGTAGTAAGGATCACCGTCAGTCTCCGGATCTGATCGCACCTGCATTGCTTTTGGTTGGTGATTCAGAAGACTGGCTTACATAGCATTTTGGAGTTTCTGAAAACAGGGGACCCTAATATAGTACCCTATATGTTATAAGGACCCCAAAGAAGGTACCCGATTGCTTTTGATTGGTGGTTTAGGAAACTGGTTTGCTATTTGGGGGTTTCCGAAAATGGGGGACCCCAATATAGTACCCTACATAGCAGGATCCTTGTTTTAAGGACTCCAAATAAGGTGCCGCTAATTTTCGGACCCCCCCCCATTTTTCAAGGTTTAGGAGTTTAGGATGGCTTAGGGTGTCCAGTCATAGTGGGTTGTACAGTCATACGGCAACCTACCATGGGCCACAGCATTTCTAGGAACCGCACTCTTGCCGTGATATCTTGTCCCGAGCAGTCGCTAGAGAAGCTCACAGCAGGTAACTCCCTAAGCCCATCTGCCATGGCATCCCCTGCAGATAGTCAAGTAATATAGGGGTCTTGATAATTAGAATGGTGTTCTTTTAAAAGGGTCTATAAGGGTTACTATAAGAAATCTATAAGGGCACTGTAATATAGGGGTCTTAATAGCTAGAAGAGGGTTTTGGGGCCCACTATACTATATTTATAATAATACGGAGCCCCTAGAACAGTATTGGTAAGTATTTAGGCCCCCATAGTATACAACCAGCTCTATCTCTGGAATCTATGAGCCAATTGCAGGACGGTCGTGACCAGCAGCAGCCATGCTTCAGCATAGCTCGTGCAGCAAGGAGTTTCTGCAAAATCGGGGACCCTAATGTAGTACCCTAAATAGTGGGATCCTCATTATAATGCAAAAAATAAGGACCCCCCATAATAAAATACCACTATTTTCGGAAAATCGCATATCGTGACTCTGACTACTGCAACCGCACAGGTACAGTCCAAATAGCCAATTTATTCGGCTTGCTATCACTTTGTGCTGGGTGCTGCTACTTCCTGGAGCGCTACGTAAGTCGTGAGAGCTGCTTGGAAGCAGGTGATTTCTCCTTGGCATGTTTCGCGTTCAACACTAAGCTCCTCAGCCGGTCCATGCATCCACATGGCTTGAAGGTTGTCACGAACCCGAACCCAGCCCTAACAAGAAACCGCTCAAAAAGCTCTAAGCAAGGATCATTAACAATCAATTCGAACAGGATTTGGGCTATACGATACATAATGTAGTCACAATAACAACCGTAAGGAATAGTATTGGTAATTCTTCAGGACCCTATACTGAACGCCTTAGGACAGCCTTCAACCCTGAACCCCAAGCCCTAAAGGCTAGACTCTAAACCTCAAACCTTATGCCCCGAACCTTACCTTGAACCCTAAACCTCAACAATTTAAACCCTAAGAGCCCAATCCCATCTCGAATCGCCGGTTACCTCGTCGACCTCGGGCTGTTGAGGCTTCGTCGGCTGCGGATGCACGGAGGGGGCGAACCTTCGGCTGCTGGAGGGCTTTAGGGCTTTAGGGCTCTAGGGTTTAAGGCTCTAGGCTAGGGCTCTGGGGTTGGGTCTATGGGTTCAAGGTTTTGGGATGATGATGCAAGGTTTTAGGGTGTGGCTTATAGGGTTGAGGATTCGGGCTTTAGGGCTCGGGGTTTTAGGGTTTGCGGCCTAGGGTTTAAGGTCTCGGGTCCAGGGGGTTTAACGCTCATGATGTCAGGTTCTAGGCTTTGGGTTTAGGGTTCACGGGTTTGGGATCGCGAGTTGATGGTTCAGGGTAAGGTTTAGAATTTCAAGGTTTCCCAATAACTTTAGTTCATAGCAAGTTTGTTTTCTCTCATGGGGCGTTGTAAGGTTGGAGAAGATCTAAGGGGTTTGTGGTGTGAATGACATTTCGATGTTTGGAGTTCAAGTTTTGGGATTTGAAAGAAATGCGGGTTGGGGTCAAGCGGTCTTGCCAAGTGCAACCGACCATGTTCTAGAGACTCCCTACTATCACCGTCTCCATCGTATTCATGAATGGTTAAGAGTTGTTGGCACCCCCTCTGTCTGAATCCCAAACCCTGAACGCTACCGTGTCTGCCTTGTATTAGAAGGAACGACTTCGAACCTCTGGGGGGGGGGGGGAGGGCTGCTTTCCATCAGTGCATGTTACACGCGCGAGGCAAACAAAGACACCTCTGAAGTTAATGAAATCTGTGAGGCCTCAATAAAGGCGAAGATATAAACCCTAAACCCTAAACCCTTAAGATATCTGCCCAAGAAACAGCAACGAAATCCTAAGCCCCAAGACCGAAACACTGAGACCGACTCAGGCATTTGGCAGGCCTAGGTGCGCTGTCCTTCAGGCTCCCTCCTTTAAAGGGATCAATAACGGTTCCTATAAGGGATCTATAGGGTTTAAGGGGTTTTGGGAGTTTCCGATAATCAGGGACCCGCAATCACACAACCGAACCAAAATACTTAAAAAAGGCTCTCGAGCTTCACTGCGGCCAGGGCACCCGTTGCTTTCGTTCTTGGCATCGGAGTATGGCTGTGGAACTGGAGCCTTCCAAGTTGCATGGTTTCTTTTTTTGATTATATGACGGCGTGCTTTTCTTAGGGTTTCATGTCTTTTTGTTTGTTTACGGGTGCGAGCTTGGAAAAAGGCTTTTTGTTCATGCTGCGGCATCTTCATGATGGCAAGGTAGAGGGCGGTTTTGGCTATGAGATTGCAGCCGGACGAATCAGACTAGGGCTCTTAGGTTTCTAGACTATGCCCGTAGGCTCCATAGTAGTTCCTTTTTGGGGTTCATATATAGAACCCTATAAAGTAATCCCAAAAAAGGAACTGCTATGGAGCCCCAGGGTGCTGACATGAGTAAGGAGCCCGGAATAGGGGTTCGGGCGCAGAATCTGGGGCGAGGGTTTATCCGAAACCCTGCAAGGCAATCAGACTCATTAGAGGCCTTTTGGTCTTTACATTAGAAGCCTTAAAGGGAACTCCAGAAAGTTGGAATATGGTTTCATGGTAGGATACCCTATAATTTACCATAGAAGGGTTAGGATAATCATATTCCAACTTTCTGGCTTTTACCTTATGGTCTTTACTACTTGGAGGCTTATGGTAGTTATAAGTGGGGTTATAAGTCCCCTTATGGTCTTTACTAGTATCCATCTGGGTGGTTGTCAAGATCAGGGTCCCTTTTTTGGTCCTTATTATAATACGGCACCTAATATTTAGGGTACCCAAGAAGGGTCTTTACTACTTGGAGGTTCAGGTAGTTATGTATGAGTGGGATTATAAGTCCCCTAATATGAGTTATAATTATGGTTAACCTACTTGAAACCCACTTATATCTACCCATGAACCTCCAAGTAGTATCCATCCAAAGGCTAATTGGGGCAAGGGGGGGCTTCTATCTGTGGAGTTTACAAAGGCAGGGTTGGAGAGGGAGTCTGCCCCGAAGGAATTCCGGAGGTGCGGATGGTTTCTGTCGAGCTCATGCAGTAATGCAGTGGATGTTTGTGACTTCTATGGCAAGGGAGCTATACATATTCTCACCTTGGGCGAGTGCTTTCTTACGAAGGCTAATGGTAAAGCTGTCGCTACCTTTCGGGTTCATGGAATACGCCGTCTAGGCTTGTGTATATCTCTGGGACATGCAATTGAATGGAGTGGTATGTGACACACAACACGTTGAAAGGAGTGGGATCTCGTAAGCGCGACGCAAACTAAATGATTGTCAACATACCCAGACATCCAAACAGGAGCGGCATAAAAGTCGACGGTGAATCCATGAACCCTGGCGCCCCGAAATAGCCCGACACGCCACAAACCCACATCCCTACACAAGCCCTAAACCCAGAACCCGCCGACTTGGCGTAGTCGCATCACATGTCAACTCCTCGCTGCGAAGGTAAAGCCCTACAGCTCTGCAGAACCCTGAAAACCCAAACCCTAAACTTAGACCCTACCCTAGAGCTCCATAGTAGTTCCTTTTTGGGACTACCTTATAGGATTCTATATATGAACCACTACAAGGAACTACTATGGAGCCTATATGGGTATGATAAAACAACTGTTATGGGTGAGCCTGAACGTAACGATGGAACTTCAAACCCTCATGAAACGCCAAACCTGAATGCCCAAAACCTAGAAACCCCAAACCTCGAACCCTCCGCGGGCCGTTTGAGGCTCCGTGGGCTTCTTCGTCGGGGTCGCCGGGGTGATGCCTACCTCGCGCCACGGCCGGACAGGATTTCAGGGAAATCCGAAACATCCCGAAACCCAAAACCCCTAAACACTAAAATTTTGGGTTTAGGGTACGGACTTAAGGAAGGTTCGATTTGTGTTAAGGGTGTGGGGTTGAAGTGTTACACATAGGCTTGGGGCTGCAGTTTAGGGGGCTTAGAACATTTCCTGAACTTAAACCATACTGCACTGTTTCGCAAATTAGGGTTCTCGGATGTTTCATCCCCCGCTGGCCAACCTTCTCCACCTTCTCATGCACTGGTGTGACCGCTGGCTCCTCGCCAGGGGAAGAACAGATGCTCCAGGACCCTCCTTGTACCCTAAAATAGGGGCATATGGTCCCAAATAATGTATAATGTAGGTATTTAGGGTCCACCTAGAGGCTCATACCCTACCCCTGTTTTTGGATACCGGGTTTTATGCTTAGGATCTGTTATCTTAAAAAGTAGGCGCCCCAAAAAAGGGGCAAGGTATGAGCCTCTAGGCAATATAGGGGGGTAGATGGAGGGCGTAGGTTGTGAGCTCCCTAAAATTGGGCTGTGAACCCTTGACCGAAACACAAACACTTGGAGGGTCGGGGGACTTAGTAACTGGTTGTTTTAGGGACTTATAAGTACCATAACTCCAATTAGGGTCCCTTTTGGGTACTTATAAGTCTACTTACTACCCACTTACTAAGTCCCCCGACCCTCCAAGCATGCACTCCCCTGCCGACCCCGGCCACCTTCCCCGGCGCCGCCGCAGTCGCTGGCTCCTCGCAGCGAGGCAACGAGCCATGGTGATATCGGGGCCTCAATAATTACATAGACTATTTTGGGGGTTCCTTATTATGATTATAGTATAGTGGGCCCAAAACCCTATTCTAATTATTAAGGCCCTTATACTAGTGAGCTCCAAAATTGCCGCGAAGGCCGCGAACCCTGCACCTAAGCACCGACAGCCCTCTGTTGCCGACCTTCTCTGCCTTTTCCTGCACAGGCGGCGTAGCTGTTGGCTCCTCAGAGCGCAATTGATGTTGCATTTGTTAGCTTCCTATTATGCTAAGCATGAGCCATGCCCTCAACCGAGCAGAGTAAACTTAAGAGCCCTAAGGTCAGGTTAAGGGGTTAGAGTTTAGGCTTGCAGTTCATGTTGTTCTTGCACGGCAGATGTGCATGGGGTTTGACAGGACCGCGGAAGGGCGTATGCAGAGTTGAGGCGTGAGGTGTAGAACTCTATGTCCATCCTCCGGCGTCGTAGCCAGCCGCCGACAGAGCCTTTACGTTATACAAAGCCATCACCAAAACCCTAGACCCTCCCACCTGAAACCCTGCAAACACCTTCAACCTCTGGATCCTGAGTCCTAAACCCATCAACCTGTCAATCAGAGTGACCTTCGTGCCTCGGAATTCGAGTTGCGCGTAAGATGCAGCGGACCCTCCAAATCTGAGGTCACACCAAGAGTTTACCAGGACCCCCCCAAGTACCCCTGAAAAGGGCTTGAATATTTCTCATTAATAAAGAGGTACCGAGGGGCTACAAAGGGTAGTTGGGGGAATTGTTTTTATAGGGCTTTGGGGTTGTCTTTGAGGAGGTCGTATAGGGCTTTACTTAGCCGCCCTTTGAACCTGATGTCCTGTTTAATCCCCTTAGGTTAGAGTATCAGAAAACCAAAACACAGTTCCTAAGAGCATTAAAGTTTACTATGCAGCTCCATGCGGGTATAATGGGAGGGTGGCTGCAGGGATTTGGGTGGGTAACATGAGCCTTAGTAATTGGAGTAGGGTCTTTCGGGGGCCGGTTGTACTGCACTTGTTGCAATGAGGAAACCCCGAATATAGTATTGGCAATTATGTAGGCCCCTACTTACCGATGTCAAACCTCAACAAGGAATCCTTTCGAAATGCCCAGAAATGGCTGAGGCCCGAGCTCCCGCCGGTGAAGCAGCTGCTGTCCCGGAGGCAACAACAGTAGCACCCTGGTTGCAATGAGGCAGGTGTCTACAAGCTCGATGCAATTTTAGGCATGAGAAACTAGGTCTCACTTGTCCGGCGACGCTTTGAAAATAAGGATACTTCGTATTATTTAGGTCATTTAGGTTGTTTACTGGATGAGAGCATAGTTGATGAGCTTCAGCCAAACAGCTTGCGAACCCTCAGCACGATGGATGCTTTTGGGTTGCCACCGTGGAATCCGTGGAACACGGGGTCCAGGTTTGTCGCGTGTGGAAGCTTTACTATAGGGGCCCTTAATAATTAGAATAGGGTTTTGGAGCCCTTTATACCATAAATATGATAAGGAACTCCTAAAGTAGTATTGGTAGTTAAATACCCTATACTGGGCAGGTTCTGTCTGTAAAACCTCAGTGCAACCCTACAGCTCCAAAATCAGAACCGACGGCAACAAGCTAAAACATGCTAGGCCTTTGACTTTGAACTCTCCGAACATCTGAAACAGTAGACTTAGCGGTCCTGCAACCCTCGGCAACACCAAGACCCAACAAATCAAAACCTGAGAATCAAAAACAACACCTGTAATGTTACGGTGGCCACCGTCACGGCCGTCACGAGAATGTCGATGTGCGCTGATGATTCCTCCTTGCAGGGTTCAGGGTTACAGGATTTCGAGTCAGTGTGTTGACTCTCGATTGCAGCGGATGAGACATGATACAGTGCTTTTACCGTTTGTTTTGGAAGGATATTGCACCCCGCATGATAAAACCCGAAATGTACACGCATCACTTTTCAGCCTTGGCGTTTATATACAAGCCTATAACCCCTAAACCTTATAAAACCTAAACCCTAAACCCCAAAACCTAAACCCCAAAATCCTAAACCCCAAACCCCCAAACCTGAACCCTGAAGCATCAATGTGACCCCTTCCCCCCCAAAAAAAAAGATCAGCTCGACTTCAAGTGAGTCTCTTAAGCCTTGAAGTGAGGGAGACCCGAGGGTCCAAACTGGAAGCCTTGACAGGAACCGCTTAGTTTAGGGTTTAGGGTTTAGGGTTTAGGGTTTAGGGTTTAGGGTTTAGGGTTTAGGGTTTAGGGTTTAGGGTTAAACCCCCAGATAGTTGTAGACCGGGTTTAGGGTTTTAGGGTTTTCCTGGACCCCCCAACTACCCTTTAATATACCCTAAATACCCACTATTAAGGACCATAAGGGCTTTATTAATGGGTACTTGGGGGGTCCTGGTTGGGTTTAGGGTTTTGGGTTTCGGGGTTTAGGGTTTTAGGGTTAAGGCCAAATAGTGCTAGGATTCCCTATACATTAGTCTTAAGGATTGAGGCAATTGGGTTTCAAACTTTCGGGCTTCTACTGTAGAATGAACCCCAGAAAGTTGGAACATGGTTTTTTTTTCAGGATTCGCGCTAGGATCCCTCATACTTCAGCCTCGAGGGCGTGAGGCCTTATTCGGGGATCCAAAAACCTAGTGTTTTCGGGGCTATACTATATTCTAAGGGATATATGGTCACGCGCTCCGCAGCCCACCCCCCCCCTCCCCCCCATCTCCCCCCCCCATGGTCCGGATATAGGGTGGGGCCCGCCCCTCCCCTGTGGTGTGGGGTGCGGGGTTCCTCTTCCCGCTGTGGGGTGGTTGTGGGGTTTTGGGGTTTTGGGTTTCGCTTAAGCTTTTTGAGTTTTGGGTTTACGGTTACAAGGTATAAGGCTTCGAGTCGACAAGGGTTTAGGGAGGATTTGCGGTGTATGCTCTGCTTTGCTTAGAGCCTGCAGTTAGGTGGGGTTTAGGGTTGGGTGTAGCGTTTTAAGTACAAGTTAAGGTTGCTCAAAACAGGGGCACGCGCTGCGTGATAGGGTTTACGGCTTCACCCCACCATCCCGTGGCAGCTCCAATGGCCCCCAACCCCTTTCCGCACACGCCAGGCCCCCCCGCCACCCCTCTCGGACCATACCGTTGGGGGGGGAGGGGCTGGGAACGCCAGACGCCTGACCATATATATTTATACACTTTGTTTAGAAATATTCGATAGGAATATAGTCTTATGCCATGTAAAAGTATTCACACACCGATAAATTGAAAACAACAACATGTGTGTCTGTATACATACCTAGATATCTACACACACACACACACACACACGTATCATATCACTTTCTTAACTTTGAAGGGTCCTCAACAGGTTGCTCGCTGGCGCCCTCCGTCCGGGCCGCCTCCTCCTCCAGGTCTGCCGGCTGTATGTCCTCGCTACCTTGAGGCTGGCACTTGGGGCATATTTTAGAGCTTAGGGTATAGGGTTTTAGCCTAAACCCTAAAGCCTAAAAACAAATTATATAAGCCCTAAACCCTAAACCCAAAACTTTTAGGGCTTAGGGTTTAGGGTTTTAGCCTAAACCCCTAAAACCAACTAAACCCTAAACCCTAAACCCAATAAGGCATATATTAGGGCTTAGGGTTTAGGGTTTTAGCCTACTCAAACCAAACTACCAAGGACAACTAGCAAACCACCCAAACCCGAATCACTCAAAAGCCTGAGAACAGCCACCATAAAATAACTAGACAACAACTCTAAACAGGTAAACCCTAAACCTTAAACCCTAAACCCCTAAACTCTAAACTAAAACCTATCCCCTAAAACCCTAAACCCACCAAAATCCTGCGCTGCGTCTCATCTGCCCTAAACCCTAAACCCTAAACCTGCCATGGTGCCTGCAGATGCCACCTCGGCCATCTCCTCGGGAGCTTCCTCGCTGGCCTTGGGCGGTAAGGGTTTTTAGGCCCTTCTTTTCGGGGGTTCCTTTAGGGGCTTAGGTTTTCTTCTAAGAGTTTAGGATTTTTAGGGTTCCCATTCTTCAAAAAACAAAGTGTGGCTTAAAATCTGGCCCCGAACCCTTATTGCCCTAACTCCTGACCCCACGGACAGGGCTCGGAAGCCCTCAAAAACCTCTGCAAGTAGCACCCTGAACTCCCAAGCCTTACACCCTTCAAGAAATCCCTACAGCATCACGTAATCGGAATAGTAACCCAAATCATACCCCGGCTAGGAGCCCTCACAAGATCCCTTTTGGCATCCCCTGCAGGAGCCCGAACTCCTGGGCCCTTTCCGATGCCATGCGGCGGAGGCGACTTCCACGGCATCAGGAGGCCGCTCGATCCTTGAGACCCAGGTCCGGGAAAAACCGATCCCCATACATGCAAAGTCAAACTGAATGATTATACTTGCACTCATAAAACAACCGTGTATGTATGCCTGTGTGCATGTGTGCATGCATGGATGGATGGATGAATGGATGGATGGATGGACGGAGGCACATACGTCCTGCACCCCTCAGGGATTAGAGTCCAAGTACACCCCCCACGCCCAGATAGGGTCTTAGGTGGCCTTAACCCATCCTGACTACCATCTACTCTTTGTGTACTTGGACCCTCTCAAAAACGAAGAAGCCTTTAACAGTTAGAAGAGGCTTTTCAGCTCCATTATCGTAAACTTATAATTTCACGTAAACTTATAATGTTCACCTTTGATTTAAACATGGGGTCGGATTAATTAGAAAAATATTCGCGCCCCGAATGCCCAAACACTTAAGTGGGGTATGTGGGGTCGTATAATAGAATAACTACATATTTCGGGAGGCCTTTTCTAGGCATGGCGAGCCTCTTTTAAGAAACCGTATCCTCCCTCCCATCATTATGCCAACCACCTCAAGCGCTTGGCTGCGGTCCCGGTCCGCGCTTATTCCTAATGCGGGTTTCTTCATCAAACCCACACAGTACTGAGGAACCTTCTGGCGTAGTACTAGTAGCTACTCGTTATTCAGGCCTCAATGTTGCTTGGGAACAACGAGATTGCTGATCAGCTGCTCGCTGTTCGAGTCGCTGTGTACAGAGCGCGGCTGCTCCTCCACCGGGTCAACCTTGGGTTTAGGGTAAGGTTTAGGGAGTTTAGGGTTCGGGGTTTGGGGTTTAGGCGACGGCTGTGATGCCCACTTCAAGGTTCATTGGTATTATAAGTTTATAAGTGACTTTAAAGCAAAACAACTATCGTTAGATGCCCAATATAGCTGCGGTACATCTCTGTAATGCATCTACAAACCTATTAATAAGTTGCTTGCCAGGCTTGGAAAACTATTACCTAGAAGACCACGTGCACACAAACAATAAACAACCACAGCCAAACAAAAGAAGCATGCACACAAGAATACAGAGGCTATTTCTTCCTTCCCATATTATGAACCTCCAGACCTAAATCCTAAGTAAAGCAACGATCCCCCCATTAGTCCTTACCCTACATCCTAAACGCTAGACTTTAAGCCTTGAAGCCCTAGGCCCTATAGACCCTAAACTTTATGCCCTAAGCCCTAAACTTTTAGTCCGAAGCCCTAAACCCTATAAGCCCTAAACCCTAAACTTTAAACAAAGTCACAGTTCAGTCCAAGGAGCAACCCTACAAACCCTAAGCTCTACACCCTCAACTTTAGTCAGCCCCTATTTTAAGGCATAAGCCCTATAAGCCCTAAACCCTACCTAGACTTTAGACAAAGACACCGTCCAGTCCAGGGAACTTTAAACCCAATCAGTATGCCCTAAGCCCTAAAACCATAATGTAGGAACCTGGTTAAGAATCCCTGGGCCTACAACCCTAAACTAGTAGGATTCATGTAAGGAACCCGAATAAAGGCCCAAGGTTTTCTAACCAGGTTCCTACATTACACCCTAAGCCCTCAACTTTAAATACAGACACAGTTCAGTCCAATGAGCTGCTTCGTCGACCTCCGAGGGGGTGCCGAGGCGATCCTCCACGTCGCCTTTCGGTTGCTCTTAGTGTTGCAGGGTTCTGGTTTAGGGTTTTAGGGTTTAGGGCTTAGGGGGGTTTAAGCTCGGGTTTGGCGTTTAGGGTCCGGAATTTTTTGCTGAGGATGCTTTCTTGATGCTGTTTTTTGGAGGCGGGATTTAGGGTGTGGATGCAGGAAGCGCTTTTGGGTGTAGGGCTGTAATTTCGGGTTTCAAGGCTTAGGGTGTTAGCGTTTAAGGTCTGGTTTATGGTTTGGTGTCTAGGGTTTGGGGTCGCGGGCTTGAGGTTTCGTGTTGAGGGTTTGGGGTTTAGGGTTTGGGGGTTAGGTTTTGGGATTTAGGGCTTTAGGGTTTGGGGCTCAGCAAGGGTTTAGGGTTTGAGGTTCATAAGGCTTTGGCTTTAAACGCTAGGGTAATACAACGATCCCATGAAGGCCTGGTGGTTCGGGATCTTTGTGCTTGGGGATTTGAGGTGCGGGGTTTTAGGGGGCGGAAGCATCTGGTACCTCTGTCATTAGGGTTTAGGGTTTAGGGTTTAGGGTTTAGGGGTCATGGCACGCTTCAGTTTCCGTGTCTTGTTGCTCTTTCAGTGGGTGATGTTTATGTTTCCTACCTATAGTCTCCACGGTAGTTCCTTACCTGTTAGGATCCTTAATATAGAATTGGTTAAACCAAAAAAAGGAACTACAATGGAGACTATAGGTAGATTTCGATTTGGGGTGTTGAAGATTAGGGCTTCACATTTGTGTTTAGGTTTTCTGGGTTGCGGGCCTGGGGTTCAAAGGTTATTGGCCCCTCCAGGACGCGACTGGGGATTTAGGTCCGAGAAGCTTCTTAGGCTTATCCACTACTTGGAAGGGCAGGGGACTTAGTAAGTAGGTTATAAGTAGGGTTATAATTGGGGTAACTCCATTTAGGGTACTTATAACTCTACTTATAACCTACTTACTAAGCCCCCTGCCCTTCCAAGTACTACACATGGAACAGAACTTGTGAAGCAAAGAAAGGAACCCGAAAAGCTACGCTCGACTGTAATGGCGGGACTACCCGCCTGTCCAAGCCGTGAGCCCCAAACTACACTTAAGCAAGCAGAAACTCCCGGACCCTAGGCTATAACCCTAAACCCCTAACCCCTAAACTCTAAACCCCAAACCCTAGTTCTGATGCACCCACCACCCCTGATCCAAAAGACCTGACACCACTGAAGTTCCTGGGGACCGTGATCTCTACACCCTGTAAGACCCTTTCAAGAAATTCTTAAAGGAACCTTCATGGAATCCTTAAAGGTGCCCTTAAAGGAACCCTGAACATAGGAGTCCTTCGAGGCTTGGAGGAACCCTCAGAAAAATTAACAAAAAACGTACAGGAGCCGTGAACGGAGCCCACAACACCAAACCCTAAACCTGTAAATCCGTAAACCCTGAACCCTGAATCCTAAATCCTAAACTTTTAAAGCCTAAACCGTGTTTGTTCAAAGGCCTCCTTGGATTGGGGCCACTTCTCCCTGCTCCTCCTCCGTCTCACCAGTTTCGGACCTGGGCTCCGTTGGCTTGGGCTTCTTCTGACTCCAGAGCTTTTAAAACTTCGATAGGGCGCTCTACCAGTTCCTACGGTCTAGTATAGGGGTTTCTGTGTTTCATAAGGATTTCATAGGCGTTTATGGGAGCGTTGTACGCTTCTACGGGTTTGATAGGGCCTTTATGTGTCTCTCTCTCTCTCTCTCTCTCTCTCTCTGTCTCTCTCTCTCTCTCTCTCTCTCTCTGTCTGTCTGTCTGTCTGTCTGTCTGTCTGTCTGTCTGTCTGTCTGTCTCTCTCTCTCTCTCTCTCTCTCTCTCTCTCTCTCTCTCTCTCTCTCTCTCCATATATATATATACATATACACACACACACACATATTAATAGGTCTATCTTCTCTCCGTCTTCTCACAACTCACCACATTGTAATTCCTATAACCTCTGATCTCCTATAGTTTTAATCCTAGACCTGGGTTCATAGTAACTTAGGGCCTTTGAGGGTTTGGGGAGTATCCAAGGGCAAAAGGAGGGACCCTTAATATGTGGACTTAGTAAGTATGGTTATAAGTACCTTATTTGGGGTTAGAAGTAATTATAAGTGTAGTTACCTTAATTGTAACCCTAAAGTACTAAGTCCCACGATCCTTCCAGTAGGCCTTAGGCTCCATACGGTTGATGATATAAATCTGCATTACCCATAATAAGGAATATACCACAATTCCCATAGTTTAGGGTCCTTAAGGTAATGCAGGATTTATATCATCAGCAGTAGTAGTTCCTTTTCGGCACTACACAAGCGGATTCTAAATATGAACCCCCACAAAGGAACTACTATGGAGCCTATGGGTAGGCCTTTAGAAGCTTCGCGGAGAGGGGGAGGGGTTGGGGGTTTGGGGGTTTAGGGGTTTCGGGGCTTCGGGGTTTAGGGTTTGGGGGTTTAGGGGTTTGGGGGTTTTGGGTCTTGTGGGTTTAGGGTTGGGCTGGAAGGTTTCGGGTTCAGGTCTTGGTGTTTTCTATTCTAGCCTTAAAGTCACAAGGATATGGGCTTTCGGGTTCAGGGCTTCATGGCTCTTGTGTTGTAGGGGTTTCATGGTGCTTCACGATTGATTTAATTGCAGATAGGATGGTTCGACTAGGTGTCAGGGGTTTGATATTTCTGTGAGCTTCGCAGTCTACGGTCCAGACGATGCTTCACTTGCTCGTTGGCATTAAATCGAGACGAGGGGCACAGCGCTTGGCGGCGTGTCCTCGCTATAGGCCTGCCAGGAAATCTGAAACCAGATGCATGTGACAGCGACCGCTTACTAATCCCTAGAAGCATTAGAAGCTGAAAGCGGATAGCGGATCATGAAACCCGCCAGAGACACTGCCTAATTGAACGAGCGGGCAGATCTGCTGCTTTGAATAGAACCCTGCAAAGCCCAGCAAACAAAAAGCCTTTCCTGGTCTTCTCAATGCAAGTGGGCAGCTGTCAAAATTAAGGTCCCTTTTTAAAGGCCCAAAAAGGGACCCTAATTTTGACAACCACCCAAGTGAGATTGAGGTTTTCGCGCTTTCCTCGAAACCCCTCCCTAATAGCTTACTTGTCGGGTATCATGGGGAACTGAAGGTTAACCTTTTTGGTGATATAGGGATTACATAGGGACTATACTACCCAGAAAAGGCTAAAGGTTACCTACCCAGGCAGACCCCCGCGAGGATCCAAAAAGTAGATCCCTTAATGGTGGTTCCTATAAAGTACCCTTAGTAGTATAGGGCCCCAAATTAGGGGAAGACCCTAAACCCTGAACCCTTAATCCTAAACCCTAAATCCTAAACCCTACTTTCTAGATCCTCCCGGGGGTCTGGGTTTCCTGCTCTACTAGGATAGGTTTCGGGGCACTCTGCTCAGCTGGAGAGTTTCGGTTGGTGTATGTATAACGAGGAGCTTACGCTGGGTTTAGGGTTTTAGGGATTTAGGGTTTAGGGTTTAGGGGTTCAGGGTTTAGGGTGATACATCCGACAACTTAAGCTGGGACCGCCTGTTTTCCCAAAACTCGGCGGTGATTTCTGGAACGGAAGCTATGTCCAGAAATAAAAGCGAGTAAACGAGTATAACCTGGACGCACACCCAAACTCAATCAATTACATTGCGCACGAGCCGATGTATTTCCGTTCATAAATGCTACTTAGGAGGTTTATGAAAGAGACAGCATTTCGCCACCGGAAAGTAGTAGATTTGAAGTTGAGGTGACAGCTCATGTTTGGGCTTGAAGGTTTTGCGGCAGGTTCAGAGATCAAGCTCGGGTTTAGCTGAACCTCAACTGTGGGTTTAGCGAAATCTCAAATTCCGGCGTAACTTAACCCTAAACTTCTAAACTGCTAAACTCCTTAACCCCTAAATCCTGAACCTCCAAACCCCTAAACCCTGGAATTTCTGTCAATAGCGGGTCGTTGCCCGAGCACTCACCCAGTAACCCCTGCACTCGCGATGGAAGCCTCGCTGGCTGCATCGTTGACCTGAGGGCGAAGCGGTTTCAAACTTTTTAGGGATGTTTCAATAACTTGTTAGTTTGTTTTTTTAGCTTTTTAGGGTTTAAGATGCGCCTATATATATATATATTATTTTTTTTTTAAGGGCCCTTGTTCGTTTGCTCCAAGGAAAGCCGTTTGAGGCGAGCTCCCCAAGCCATCGGCTTAGAGGTTTAGGGCCTTTAGGGAGCTTCATACTAGGGCCTTGGTATACACAGAATATTATAGGATCCTTAAGGGGGGGTGGTTCAAGGGGGGAGGGTACTAGGGAGCTTTGGGGAAGGGAAGCTTAGGGAGTATTGGGGAATAATGGGGATTACTAGGTTACCTACCCCCCTTGGACCACCCCCCCTTAAGGACATCCTAAGAATAGCGTTCCGGTGGATGCTCAAGCAGTTCGTGAGAGGTTCTTGAAAAAAGTGGTGAGATGGGCCTTTTGACCTCATGACACGACCCAAAAACAATGCCATCTAAGGAACATCACATACCCCAACTGTGCTGGGCTTCCGGTCTATAGATTAAGGGTTGAAGGTACATGAGGTGGTTTTAAATGGTAGAGTCGCCTTTTCTGAAGCCCAGAAACCTGGAGAAGAAAAAACACAAAAAACAGCGCGAGAACTGGCAAGCAACAATCCGATGCACTGGTCTCGGTGGCGAAAGAGTGCTGCTATACCCTAAATCCTAGACCCCTACACCCTAAACCCACAACAACTGTTCATGATGGCTGTTGAGGGTATACTTCGAGGCTCTGGGGACTGTGACTTGGTAGGCAGGTTCACGATTGAAGAGTCCTTCTGAACACACGATCTGGTTCTGAGTAACTATACACTGTAGCCCTTCCAACCTTTCATCCTTATGTAAGTCCATGCATCATGGCCACGAATAGAATACCCTACGGTTTATGGGTCACTACGGTTTAGGACCAATGGCCGAAATCTTTGAATGGGCGAGGGTAAGGACCATGACCCAAAGTTCAAGGAGCTCCCTGTGCTACTTAAGCCTTAGGGGTAAGGGGGAGGGGGGTCGGGGACTATACTTCCGTAAATAGGCCTTATCAGATCCTTATTATGGGCATGAAGACCCTCCCACTGAACCTAAACCCTAAACCCTCCCCTTAACCCCCCTAAGGGTCCCATGATTTTCTCTGGGGGCCCTGGCGGGGGTGGTGGAGGATTCCCCTTCGGAGTGGACGCCCGAGCCGGCCGTGTGCTGACCTAGACGGTTTAGGGTTTCTGGGTTCTGGTTCCTTTAAGGGATCTATAAGGACTCCTTAAAGGGTCTAATTTAAGTTGACATGATAGAGATCTATCGTGAAAGGATGCTTTCCTTATTATGGTAACTTAAAACAAAAGCCTTAACAAGAAGTCAGGTTTAGCGTGTAAGTTTCGTTTAGGGTTTGATAAGCCGTCTTTATGGTTGGGGCCGTTCGAAAGCCAAACGGCTCATGTACCCACATGTTTTAACCGTTGGCCTTAAATCAAAGGGGCTCCCAGGAGGGTGCAGACCCTGCTATTGCCCAAACCCCAGAGCCTCACCTTCCACAGCTTTGCGTTTCTAGTCCTGGTGTGTGAATCTTGCCTATGGCTACGGCTCTGGCCTGATGCTGTATGCCTTAATAAACATACTGGTGCACACCCTTGCATCGGTGTAAATATGTCGACCAGCTGGCTGTAGAGATTTTGCTGGAAGGCGTGTCAAAGATGAGAAGTCCTCTACAAGCATCTCCGTCAACATGCATACATGTACACATATACAGTATATTATCTTGTTATACTTTTTGAATATTATGTTGTATTATATATGTCCTGAATCCGAAACCCTTTTGTAGTAGTCCTGGAGTACCCCTTGTAGTAGTATTCTTTGAAGTGACCGCCAAAGGAACCCTTCAAAGGACCCTAACCTAAAGCTCTAAGCCCCAAAGCGTAAACAAACTCGAAAATCCTAAAGGAGTCGACAGATCCCAAGCCTGCTGTCATACCTCAGAGGTGTTGGCGAGCTGGTTTGAACATTCACCCCCCCCTCCCTCCACCCAGCACAGCGTGAAGACCACACCATGCACTTGCTTGATGCGATCTTTGGTAGATGGGGCCATGCTCTTCGCAAGGTGTCCGATATCGCTGCGCCAAACAAATACGCTGTTGAAGCTTACCCAGGACAAACGTGTACATAATCTGTGCAGAAGCCTTTTTTAGGTGTTGATTTCAACGGCCCCCCAGAATTACTCATAGATCTATATACTAAACTATAAGGGACATTAAGAATTATTCCAAATCGATACCTAGTATTTAAGAAGACAATTACAAAGCCTGTATAACAGCAGCTGAACTCAAACATCCGCCAAGCAGGGGACGGACGGAACTCTGATTTTGCCCATCCTGCGTCAAATTGACGCGAATGGCCTGGCCAAGGGCGTTCTGTTTGGGGCTGCTACCGGCTCTCAAAAGAGCTAGGTTCTAGGAGAGTTCTATAAAAGGGTTGCATGAAAGTTTGGGTTTGAAGTTCGGTTTGGAAGGGGAGGTAGTCAGAAGTCAACTCCGGGGGTAATTAAGTCAAACTTCGCGGACCCCCCGAAGGTAACTTTCAAAGAAGCGTTGCGTCTTGTTTTGGCGGGTATCTGGGGGCTAAAGCCTAAACCTTAAACCGTCAAACATCTGAGTGCTGAACCCCTACCCGCTAAACCCTAAAACCAGCAGCAGCAGCAGTAGCAGTAGTAGCAGGAGGATAGTAGCTGTACTAGAGTAGTGAGTACAGCATCAGCAGCGCCCCTGAAACCGAACCCCCAGGGGCAAGCCTTGCTAGGGCGAAGCCTGGCGCTGTCCGGAGGCTCCTCAGCCATCTTACCTGAGATTTACAAGGGTTTACGGTTTAGGGTTTATAGAGATTTACAAGGGTTTAGGGTATAGGGGGTTTTGTAGCTGGGTTTGAGTTTGGGGTTTATAGAGTTTTAGGGGCTCTTACAAGGTTTAGGGTTTAGGGTTCATCAGGATCTACGGGGGTTTAAGAGGGCTCGAGGTTTAGAGTCCATCCTTGGTGTTCCTGTAGGGCTTGGGGTGTAGAGGTTTAAGGTTCATGGGGAAGGTTTCTCGGGTCCTTACAGTGTTTGAAGTTTCGGGTTTAGGGTTTAGAGGTCAGATTTACGAGCACAAAGTTTTTTACACAGACCTATAGGGTTCTCACGCGGGTTTCTACAGATCGATAAGGCTCTTACAGTGCGTTTTTGCAAAAAAATATAAGGCTCTTACCCAGGACTTTGCAGATTCATCAGGGTTCTTACGAAGTTCTGCAGCAGTTGACGGATTTGTGCTTGAGTGGCTCATGGGCTTAGCGGGAGCCTAGACAGGATTGTTTAAGGCACGGAAAGAGCTTTGTGTCTTCGCTTGTGTCAAGCACTTTGTGTAAGAGCCCAAACCCTGAACCCTTAAGGACCAAGGAAGGGTTTCTAGGTTTTACGGTTTCGGTGGCCAAAGCGGCTAAACTGCAAACCCGTCACAGACAGAGGGCTTCCAATTTCCTTGCTGTTTTTAGGTGAGGGCAAGGGATTTTGCATCTTGGAAACGTGGGGCTGTATGTACAAAGCGACTATGCAGGTTTTCCCCCTCTTACTAGTTGTTGCAGCACGCAGTCTAGGTGTGCATAGGAGGCGCTTCCGTTTGAGCCTAGACTGACTAAGGCTGTGACTCGTCTACATCCGACATGGAGCTTAATTGCCGCTCAGCCTGATTAAACCGTACTACTGATTATCTTGGAGCCTGACTCACACACCTCCTGGAACCTTCCTTTGAGCAATTTCGTCGGCATTCTAAGATTGTCGTCCCTTCAAAAGCAAGACACCCCTCACAAGGTCTGCTTTAGGCTGAGGTTGGCCTTGGACTCGATTCAAAACCCTTAGCCTGCCCCTGGACGGTGATCTGGGTAGGCTTGAGCCAGGCTAGGTTGAGGCTTTGTCGAGTTTAGGCTTTGGAAGCGCTCACAGGCGTCAAGGGTTGCTCTCAAGGACGATACCTTTAGCCTAAACCCTAAACCCTAAATGAGCCGTGGTGTTCTCGCACTCCAAGCCCTGAGTGCCCAGCAGCAGAGCCATCAGAAAGGCGAGGGGGTCCCATGCACCGCAACGCTAAGGCCCCCTCCACTTATCTAGGACTTTAATGAGGAGTTCTAGGTCTCGAGCTGGGGTCCAAAGCGACGGAAGGAGTTTTCCAGGGAGTGGGGGGCTGGGTTACAACGTCGCACTGAAGGCTGCTTGCGTGGGTTTGAGTGTAGTCTTCGGGCATGTAGGCTTTGCTTTAAGGATTTATCGGCGGGATGCGTGGCTGCAGATGAAAACTGGCCTGGACGACTAAACCATCTGTTCTCTGCCATTCTCAGGCCCTAGTCCTTGGAAGCAGCATGTGAGCAGCGATAGGGACGGGCGCCAGGTTATATAGGGGCCTGCATGTAATGAGGAACCCCCAAGCTAGTATAGCTAATCACTAAGGCCTCTACAATATCATGCTTTATGTTGCTTCGGGCATTACCGCAGAGCAAGACGGGTAGTTCAACAAATCAGCGCAGAGGGTCCAAGTGCCCAAATAGTAGGCTTCCAGGTCCCCAATGCTACATACGCTGAAAGATGTTGTGGTAAATCTTGTGTTCGGGCTCCCCAGAGACGGTGGGTGTCAGTTTTGTAATACGGAGCTGTATTCCGTGTTCCCTGTTTAGAGAACTCCCCTCAAAGTATCACAAGCAGTGCCGGTATGAGAACAGAACCGAAGGAAGTTTGTGCGGGTTTATCGTATTCTGAAACACTAAAGTCTGCAAAGCTTTAGGCGTTCAGGGCAGGGTTTAGGGCTGTAGGTTTTGCTCCGAGCGTCCCAAACAATCTATTGTTAAGAGCTCTATGGAGCTCTATATATTGGGATGATATCAGGCTTTCTCATAACGCTACCCTAAACCCCACACCCTAAACACCAGATTGATGGACATTGCAGCTGATTCTTCAGACTTCTCTCAACCCCACTAGTGTAATCTTCAGGATCCTACAATTTAGGGTACTATATTATGAGGGTCCCCTATTTTCGGAAACTCCCACATCCTAACCCTAGACATCCGAAATCTCCCACCCAGCATTCATGCATACATATATGCATAGTGTACATGCATACATACAACCAGGCAAGCGAGGATCACCATACACGAAGCGCTTAAAAGTGCAGACCCTGACACTAAAAACCCTCAAGATTTCTAAACCCTAAATCCTGAACCCTATAAACCCTAAACTCTAAATCCTGACCCCCATAAACACACTAAACCCTACCCCGTTTGCCCCACTTCCGCCAACACCTCGGGCGGCGATACGCTTTCGGCTGCCCTCTTGGCGAGTGCCATCCCCGCCTCTCCAAACCCGACGCCGGCGGTATGGTCAGGGAGACGTTAAAGTAGCGGTTTACCGGGGTTTGGGGTTGAGGGTTTAGGGGTTTGTAAGGGGTTCAAAACTTTGGGGCTTACCTTTGTAGTAGGGTGTACCAAGACCCCGCCCAACTACCCTTCATTGTAGCCCCTAACTACCTCTTTAAAAGTAGACATATTAAAGCCCTTTCAGGGGTACTTGGAGGCTCCCCTGGTAGGGTTATAAGGTTTAGGTTTAGGGCTTTGTGAGGGGTTCGGGGCTTTAGGGCTTTGAAGTTTGTAGTAGGGTTTATGGCGAAAGGGTCGGACAATGATCAACTTACGTCAGCAGATACATTGCAGGAGTTTTTCTTTGCAAGGTTGCTCTTAAGTCACAGTGGCGTTGAGGGGATCCTGCTAGATGCGGCTCTGCAACAACTCCCACCAGAAGCCCTAAGATTCCAATTAACTCGAGCCGTCCCTGACAAGAAAAAGCAAACATACGGAGCGGCACTTTGCTGTTATTAGTATGTGCTTAATACTATAAACTGCTAAAGAACATAATAGAATTAGCCAATAAATTATTATCACACCCTAAACCCTTAACCCTAAATCCTGCACCCTTAACACTATATTTAAAAGAACAGAAAAGAATTCCTAGAAAAAAACGCTAAACAAAGAAGCCTCCAGCGAGCCTCCTGAGCCAGGTCTCGGAGTTGGTCGGCCTCGGAGGGGCGTTGGGTCTCTCAGTGGTTCGGCTAGGGTTTAGGGGTTTAGGAATTGGGTTTAGAGTGTAGGGTTTAGGGTTTGGGTTTAAGGTTTAGGGCCTAGGGTGTAGGGTTTAGGGTGCAGGGTTTCGGGGTATATCATACAAAAAGTCGTACTAAGGAACCCCCACAAAAATATTGCTAATTATTTACGCCCCTAGAATAAGTGTTGCGTCTAGAGTGTAGGGTAGTACTTTAGGCTTTATGCAGCAACAGAGCAGGGCTTTCCCTTTCAAGGGTCTAGAATCACAACGTTTAGCCTTAACCTGGACCCTAAAGAGCCTACCTCTTTAGGGTTCCTCATAATGAGTTCCTTATATACGTCCTTAAAAAAGTGGGTTCTTCCGGTTGAGGAAAGGCTTATGCATGAGGCGGCTTGGCCTTAGAATGGTGTACGGTTTCGGGTTTGGGTTTGCGTACAACACCCTAAACCCTGTGCCGCTCTGAACCCCAAGCCCTGGCTTGGCGGAAAGGAGCATCGAAGCCCAACAGAGATTAACCCCCCAAAACAAAGAAAGCCCAAACCCAGAGCCCTGAAATCCTGTCCTACATTGAATACCTGCGCAAACCAATTAACAGACCAAGGGCCGATAGTGGCTCTCCGAAAATGCTGACGCTGGGCTCTGTGACGAGCATCCTCGACGGGGGCAGCAGCGAAATCACCGAAATGATTGCGAGATTCATCAATGTTAGACTTTAGGGTTTAGGGGTTTAGGATCTAAAGTTTATGGGGGTTTCGGGCTTTAGGGAAATAAGCACATATAGAGATCAGCCGTAGGAGACCCTGAACCCTAAACCCTACCTATAGTCTCCATTGTAGTTCCCTTTTTGGTTATCCAAAGTTATGGTTAGGACCCTATAATAGAGATTTTGGGTTAACCAAAAAAAGGAACTACCATGGAGACTATAGGTAAACCCTGTCCTGTGTTTTAACATGGCTGCGTTGAAGCCCATCGCGTGAGCCGATCCTGGAAGGGCGTAAGAGGCTTTGTCCGGTTCAAGGAGTTGCCTCAGGTTAGGGTTTAGGGTTTAGGGTTCTGCCTTCAATAAAAGCTAGGGTTGAGGGATGGCTTTCTGATAGTTTTCGGCCATTTGGTTGTTGTTGTTGTTGCTGTTGCTGTTGCTGTTGCTGTTGTTGTTGTTGTTGTTGTTGGACGTGTGTGTGTGTGTGTGTCTTGCTCTCTCTCTCTCTCTCTCTCTCTCTCTCTCTCTCTCTCTCTCTCTCTTCGGCCATTTGGTTGTTGTTGTTGTTGCTGTTGCTGTTGTTGCTGTTGTTGTTGTTGTTGTGGTGCGTGTGTGTGTGTGTGTGTCTCTCTCTCTCTCTCTCTCTCTCTCTCTCTCTCTCTCTCTCTCTCTCTCTCTCTCTCTCTCTGTACCTAAAACTCTGAACCCTTCGCCGTAAAAGATGCCAGCCCGAAATTGAACCCGTACAGACGCATGGCGAAAACCTATCACAAGCGCGAAATCCCGCATCCAAGCTTGCCCGGCCTATATGCGCTTCGAGGTCTGCGCCCGTGGCCCAGGTCTTAGCAAGATATCAGGGCTTGGTATAGGGACCGTAGCAACAAACTACGATAGGGTTTTGGAACAAGCTTGGGGGTGCATAATGCTTTAGGTGGAAAAGGGAAAAAAGGGAAGCCCAAGCGACAATATTGTCATCTTGCTGTCTCTGTCTATCTGTCTGTCTATATGTCTATCTGTCTAC